AGCTAGTCTTAAACCACTAGCATTACTTGGGCTGAGAGTAGGACAGGAGAGGTTCCCAAAAGGAAAAGTAGGATAAAAGTTACCAGAAGAGGGAATGAATAAGGCAGGCAAAAAACTGAAGCATCCTCTACTTAAGCACCTGGTAATTTACAATATAAGAGAAGAAACTGGTAACTGGTTTCATCTGGGGGTCACAGACAAATTAATCTTTTTACTGTAAAGTCTTCTGTACGACCTAAATTAGCCACATATAAACATATTCATTTTTTAAAACTTTTAAAATCATATACAAATGACATAAAAAGCAGGTTACAACTCATTTATTCAAGTCAGTTCAAATCAATCACACCATTAGAACAAGTCCCAAACTAAGGCCAGTCACCCATGCCTGTAATCCCAGTTACTCAGGAGGCCAAACCAGGAAGATCTCAAGTTCAAGGCCAGCCTGGTGAGACTTTGTTTCAAATAAGGTATACCTTAGTGATAGAGAGCTTGATTGGCATGTGTGAGGCCCTGGGGTCAATTCCTAGCACCTCAAAACAAATCAAATTTTAGACCAGCATGGTGGTGCATGCCTATAATCCTAGCACTTGGGAGGCTGAGACAAGAGGATTGCCACAAGTTCGAGGACAGCCTGGACTACATAGGGAGACCTTGTCTCAAAAAACAAAATCAAATTTTAAATACCATTTCTCTAACCTGCAAAACTGTCAAACACTAAAAACACTGATTAAATGAAATAAAACGTTTATTACTGACAATACATTTTCACATTTGGGGTTTGGTCATTTGTAAACAAGAATCCCAATACAGACCCTCTCACAAAAACAAAATACGTAGGACTTTTCATAGAATTCCAGCTTCCAACCTGGAGCAGTCTGTTCTTTAGGATTATTATCCCAGAATTTCTCTTTCTTTCCCTTTACAGAAAAAGATACAAACATATTTGTACTCCTCATTCATAATAATATGCTCCTTCATTTTTCTGGCATATCCTTCGGTAGCTTCCTAAGAGATGAGTGGAAACAATTTTTTGTGACATGGCACACTCCAAAAATCCCTTTACTCTGTCTTCACACTTGTTCGAGCATATGGTTACATTTAGGCTAGATAGCATCTTCCCTCAGAATTCTAAAGGCATTGTTCTACCATCTTCTCATTCTTGGTATTGTTGTTTGAGAAGTTGGTGCTATTTCTAGTTCTTAATATGAAAGTGAAAAGTTTAATGCTTGAATGGTTAAGACCCTTCTTTTTTCATGTGGCAACTGATGATTTTCATTAGAGTGTTTGGCAAGGTGACCTGGCTGTTTCACTGGTAGACTCCAAAATTCAGAAATGTTTTCTCTGCAGTTGTCCGATATTTTGCATAAAAGATTTGTTCATACAGTATAAAAGATGTAAAAGGCTGCTAGTGTTCCTGGAGCTGAGCAGCACAAGGAAGCTGAAGTTTCACTATATAAGATGTATCCAATCCTCTCATCTTCAGGCGGGCATTTCTCTCCCACTTTCTCAGTGCCGTTTAACCCTGCCCATCTGGAGACAGTTTCTCCACATAAGATTTTAACTTTTTGCAAGGGTAGAGGAAGAAGTTATCTTTGTTGCCTGTGCTAGTCTCAAACTGAACCCAAGTGATCCTTCTATCTAAGCCTCCCAAATAGCGGGGACTACAAGCTGGGCCACCATCCCTCCCTGGCTTTGCTCTTATAAATTTGTGCTAATTTTAATCCTTTTATCTCACTAAATGGAGTTTTGAGAAAAAGCAGAAATAAACATGTTTCTTTAATCTCCTATGCTTAAACAGAAGATTTAGTTCTTAAATGACTTTTATCTGATGTTAATATACATCCTGAGGTACATCCAGGTTTTATAAAGATGAGTTTACAAGGTTTTTTTTGGGGGGGGCTCTAGTTTAATAAGAGCACAGAATTAGGTAAGAGACTCAATATTTGATTTCAGAATGAGAAACCTTAAGTTGACAAATACCACAAACATTATAAAATCCAGAAAAATAACGGTATTTTTGTTATGCCACGTGTGTCATTTGTTTTACTGAAACAAGCTATGAAATCCACCATTTTAAACTGTACAATTCAATGGTTTTTAATATATTCACAATGCTGTAGAACCATCACCATTATCTAATTCCAGACATTTCTATCACTTCAAAAAGAAATCCTGTACATAATAATAATCACTCTCCCTCCTCCTGTCCCCTGGCAACTACAAATCTACTTTTTGTCTCAATGGATTTGCCAAATGAAATCGAACAACATATGGCCTTTGTATCTGGCTTCTTTAAATCAGCATAATATTTCTGAGGTTCAACCATGCTGTAGAATATATCAATACTTTAACCATGTTATACATGAGTAATATTCCATTGTTTAGATATGCCACCATTTTTTATTATCCACTCATTAGCCAATGTACATTTGAGTTGTTTTCACCCAATTATTCTGGTTATTAATAAAGCCTCTATGTGCAAGGTTTTGTGTAAATATATTTTTAGACCCATGAGGCATAATGCCAATTTTGTCATAAAGGTGCAGAAATGTAGGTGTATAATACCTTCATTTATTCTTGGAATATTTCTGTTGATTATTAATTTTAATGAGTTTTATTATATTGAATATCAAGTACTAACAGGAAAAAATTTTTAAAAAGAATTGAAATTTTAATATTTATTGAATGTTTTTAAAAAAGCATCAAAATTTTCAACATCAGCTGGCCGAACAACAGAAATAAATTCCTATATGAACTACAATGAAAATACCAATAGCACTCTACAAAAAAAATAATCTTTACTTCAGTTATCACACTGAAGGCTATCTTCACACATGACAACAGCACATGCCATATACACATATTGCTTACAATGACAGCACATGTGTTTTGCTTTTCTGGCCTTTTGGTAGAACATACTTGACATTTGGCTGGTCTTGCTGTTTTGCCAGGAGTTTCTCATTATACTATGCAATGGGTAGTTAACAGGAACATAAAATATCAAGGTAAAGAATTAAATCATTTTGGAGGGAGGTTACCGGGAATCAAACTCAGGACTTAACGCTTGCTGAGCTACAACCTTAATCCCTAAATTCTTAATATGTATTGTTTGTTTAGAATAAACATCAACAGGGTTGGGGATGTAGCTCAGTGGCGCTGTGCCTGCCTTGCAAGTGCAAGGTCCTGAGTTTGACCCCCAGTACCAAAAAAATTTTTAAAAAAAGATAAACAACATATTCACATCAGCTGTGTACTTGCTTACAAAACCTAAAAGATAACATCAGAAATAAATTCCTATATGAACTACAATGAAAATACCAATAGCACTCTACAACAAAAATCATCATTGCTTCAATTGTCACAATCAAGGCAGTCTTCACACATGACAACTCCATGTTCCATACACAAGTGTCGCTTACAATGATAGCACATGTTTTGTTTTCCTGTTCTTTCTTGTAGGGCACAGTTGACATCATTTTGGTTTTCCTGTTGTAGCAGGTCTTTGTGATGCTGCTCCTGCCTGTACACCTGTCAGCTCAACAGTGTGCGCTACAATTTTTTTGCATAGTTCCCTCGGCAGAAACATTTTGTTTTCTTCAATATGATTCCTGTTTCAACTATAAATGTGGGTTCCTATTTTATTAACTTTTAAGAAAAAAAAATTTGGTCATGTCACTCTTCTGTAGTATAAATGCATTTTATTACATTAATTCCTACTAATATTTCTTCCATCTTCTTTTCACTTATCTTCTTTTTTAATGCATTAGATGTTTAACTTATGTGTTTTTTCTAACAATAGGCATTTAAGGTACGTGAGTAGTTGTTGTATTTGTGGATTCTACAACTTTGCATTCCACATTCATGGATTCAACCAACCACAGACCAAAATCTTTGAAAAAAATTGTATTTGTACTGGAAAACAAAAAAGAAAATTTTGTTTTTCCTCTGCTGTAAATGATTTTTTTATGAGTTCCAGCCCCAATCCTCTAAGAAAATTTCTCCATGGTATTCTGCATTTGTTATTTTCTTTGTAAACTATCAAACTATTTATGCCACATGTTTAGCATCGAGTCAAACACAACCACTGGCCAACGCTTTGTGTTTTAAGTGACATGATAGTTGCATAACTCATTTAACAACATCTATTCTACCTTTCGTTTTGTTGTAAAAAGTTTCCATCTCAGGCTTCTGTTTTGTTGTGGTTTCCCTATCAATATTTCCATCATGGTGCAATGTTGACATCACCAGTACCAGTTTGTTTTTCTTTGCCATATACAAGGCCAATATAAATCTTTCTGAAATCCAAAGACTGTATTATATAATCCTCTGTTTTGAAATTGCAACATTTCATTTGGAATTTCTGCTTCATTCCTGCATATAGTTCCTACGCTGGTCAACTTGTCCTCTGCTAGCAAATGTAACATCAATTGGAAACTGGTAAGTCACCTGCTGAACGTCACATTCTGATTAGTTTGGGAGATGGGAGCAACAAGTCTCTTCACAACATCATTCGGTTTATTACTATATGAATAAGGACCTGGTGGCTGAGTTCCAGGATAAATTTCTAAATTGAATGCATAATAAGTCTTTGCATCTATAAGGGCATATATTTTTATGCCATATTTTGACCCATCGCTTTTCCACAAGTCTTTTACATGCCTGCAATTATCATGAGAAATCCCTGCTAAGTATAGAAGACCTATGAATACTTTCAGTTCAGCTAGTAAGGTGTCATAATAAATACATTTTTTAATATAGCTACTGGTGCATACAGAGCATTTTACTTGTATTTCAGGCTTTGTGTACTTCACAATGTCTTGCAGCATTTCATCTGTTACAATTTCCAACACTGAATGGCAGCACTGGCATTCTGTCCAATAGTTTTCCCCCCTCCCAAGATCCTCACTATATTTTTGGATCTTGTACTAACATTGGATCATTCCCTTTGGTTGTGGGACCATTTTTGTAATATTTCAACTAGTCAAATATGTACTCACACTGGTGTTTTCTTCATCATCTGAATCAAGGAGGTCTGCATTCCTGGTATCTGTGTCAGTCGATTCTTGCTCCACTTCACTGACACAGGAATGTGACTCACATGGCCAATGTCAAAGTCATTATCATCTTTATCATCCATGTATGAGTAATTTGATGATTCACTTTTGACCTCCTCCAAAACTTGCAAATCTCATTTTTCAAGTGCCATTGTACTGAACTGGGCTACTTCTACCAGAAAAATCAAAAGAAACTTTTTTTTAAAACAAATCCTAACTGCACAGAAATTTAGCAATGAGCATGTCATGGGTAAAACTCACCTGTTGCTGCTTTGGAGCTCCTATATACACCTTGCCATTTTTCTGAAAAGTGGGTGAATCCACAGATGGGTTTTTGCTTTCCCCAGGTGCAGTTACTGTGAGTCACACTCACATCCCATTGTAGTAAAATACATGTTTTCATAACAGAAGAGTGGTGTGGGTGTATTTTACCCCCTGTGATGCTCAGGTAAACACATGTAAAACCTGTTAGACTGAGCATTATGTGGGTAAAAATCCCAGTCTGACACTTTTGCACACATGCACACACCTCGCCATTCATCATACCAAGTGAGTAAACACAAAGATTGCTTCCTGTATCCCCCAGGCACAGCTACTGAGACACACAGGCAGCTACTAGTATGCTAAAGTACAAATTTATAGTAGAAAAGTATGAGATGGGTTGTTGTAACCCAATGTTATGTCCTGAACACCAGAGAATGGAATTCCCAGTTACATAATTAACTCTACGTTTAACTTTTTTATGGCTGAGTAGTACTCCATCTTATTTTTAAAAACCCACATTTTCTTTATCCAGTCTCTAGTTGATGGGACATTTAACTTTTTGAAGAACTACCAACTGTTCACTACTGTGACTCAACCATTTTACATTCCCACCAACAATGTACGAGGGCTCTAATTTCTCCATATTCATAAAAATGTTCAAGGGCCAGGGATTTAGCTCAGTGGTTCCACCACCTGCCTCGCAAGTGCAAGGTCGCAAGTTTGATCGCCAGTACCAAAAAAAAAGAAGAAATACATAAAAATGTTCACATTCTCTCTTTCCAGTACTGAGACTGAACCAACATCCCAGCCTCCCCCACATCTTCTTTTTCCCCTTTGAGACAGGTCTCATTAATAGTTGCCTAGGCTGAACTTAAACTCATGATCCTCCTGCCCCTGCCTCAGCCTCTCAGAATGTTGGGATTACAGGCATGTACCACCATCCCCACCCCCATTTTTTGTTACAGACTTTCTAGTGGGTATAAAGTGATCTTGTGATTTTGATTTACACTTCCTTAAAGACTGATGATCTTTTCATGTGTTAATTGGCCACTGTCATCTTCTTTGGAGAAATATCTATTCAAACCTTTTGCCTTTTTTTTTTTTTTTTGAGATAAGATCTTATTTATGCAGCTCAGGCTGTACTCAAACTCATTATGTAGCCCAGGCTGGTGTTGAACTGGTGGCAATCCTACCTCAGCATCACACCCAGGTATGCCCATTTTTAAATTACATTTGTTGTTCTATTGTTGAGCTGTAAGAGTTCATTATATATTCTTCTGTATACTAAACATTTATCAGATACATGATCTGTAATATTTTCCTCCATTCTGTAAGCTGGGGTTTTTTTGCTTTTTTTATGGTTGTCTTCTGGGGCCCAAAGGTTCTTAATTTTGATGAAGTCCAATTATTTATCTTTTTCTTTAGTTGCTTGTGCTTTTGGTATCATACTTTAGAAATCATTGCCTATCCAAGGTCTTGTGTTTCCTTTATGTTAATTTTTGTATATGGTATAAGGTAGGGGTCCAATTTCTTTTTTCTGTGTGGTAATATTCAGTTATTCCAACATCACTTGTTGAAAAGTCTAATCTTTCCCTGCTGAATCTTGCACTCTTGTCAAAAATCAATTGACCACTGATGTATGGGTTTCTTTCTGGACTCTTAATTCTAGTCCATTGATCTACATATCTATCTTTATACCAGTATCACACTTTCTCTGACTTTATAATGTCATTTTCTATAGAGATAACAGAAAAATAATTTAGTCATTCCTCTATTATAGTTTAATATATTTCTGTTGTTATTGATCCCTTAGAAGTTTCTTTTGGCAAAGGGCCATTATCTGTTATATAAACTTTTAGGATTGTGGTCAAACTTAGGAAAACTCTTTGTCTCTTGTATAAAGCTATAAGAGTTCAAATAACTGTCCTCAAATGTTGTTTTTCCTGTACTTATTAAAAACTTCAGGTGACAGATGCCATAGGACATACTCTTATCACTGTACCACCTCTGGCTATTCAGGTTTATGTCACAATACAAGTGGTTAGCACAATGGGTAGTATTCCTAGAAGCCATCCCTATAGTGGCATCACTAATACCTTGACTATCATATACATGAAGAGACTATGAACTACAGAAACATAACCTGCTAAAACCCACATTTGGCAATGTTCTGTTTCTTGATCTGCATGCTGGTTATGTCAGTGTGTTCAGTTTGCTGAAAAGTCTTAAGCTACAAACCTATGAACTTTACCCTTTTTTTTGTGTGCATGTACTGCACACCACTAAAACATTATAAAAATGATCATGTAAACACATTATTAGGGTGCTTCCTAGGCATTCAGACTGGGTCCTGAAAATTAAGCTTCATTGTTTTCACAGTAAACCCACCTTGTATATAGAAAACTGGACATCACAAGATGTAGTCTCTAGTACCAACTCTACCATGAACCAGCCATGGGACTTGGAGAAGACACAGAGATCTCCCCAAGCAACTGTTTCACCTAAAATGAGAGGTCAGACTATAAACTCTAAGCTCTCTTTCTGGTAGCCATTCAAGAACTATTTCCTGGGCTGGGGAGGTAGCTCAGTGGTGCCACCACCTGCCTCACAAGCACAAGGTCCTGAGTTCTATCCCGAGTACGAAAAAAGAAAAACATTTCCTTAGTACTTTGTCAGTGTTAATATACCAGGTGAATGAGAAACACGCACTCCCAATTTAGGCAGGACAAAAGACAATCATCAGGAGACAAAAAAAATAATCAGAAATCTGAATAAAGTATGGACTTTCAGTTAATAATGTTATACCAACATAGCTCACTGATTATGACAAATGCATCATACTAATTTAAGATTAGTTAACAATAGGGGAAACAGTATTGGAAATACAGAAACACTCTGCACAATTTGTAAATCTAAAATTTAAAGTTAATTTTTTAAAAAGACAATAAGCAGGCCGGGGATTTGGCTCAGTGGTTTTGCCGCCTGCTGCACAAGCACAAGGACCTGAGTTCAATCTCCGGTACCAAAAAAAAAAGACAAAAAGCAGGTAAACAAATGAATATGAAAATAAACTGTAGTAAGTCCTCTGAAGTAAACAGGACATTTAGGTGGAGATAATGACACTAGAGAGACTACTTTAAACAGAGCAACTCTTTGAGTTGACTATTATATTGAGGGAAAACAGCAACAAGAGAAACAGAAACTCCTTGAGAGAGAAAAAATATGTAAGAAAAGAAATTGGCCTTTACAAAAAAATCAGTATGACCAACCAGTCAGCAGGCACCAGATTGATTACATAGGTTATCAGACAAATGGTACCTATTTTATTCAAATTATAATAAAAGCTGCTACAAGGTTACATCAGGGAAGTAATATTCATCTTACTTTTTTTTTTAATTTATGAAGCTGCTCTACCGATAATAGTTTGTGAAGAATTAAAGAAAAAGAGCCAGTGATTTAGCTCAGTGGTTTCACTGCCTGCTGCTCAAGCACAAAAACCTGAGTTCGATCCCCAGTACCAAAAAAAAAAAAAGGAATTAAAGAAAAACAATGCAGACTTTATAGGGCAGCACTACCATTCTGGGGGACTGGGTTGGGTTGGGTTTTGAGGCAGGGTCTTGCTATGTAGTTCAGGCTGGCCTTGAACTAACTATGCAGCCCAGACTGCCTTGAACTCTCAGTGATCTCCTCCTGCCTCAGCCTCTCGAGTGCTGGGATTACAGGCGTGCACCAACCACCACACCTGGCCAATTTTTAGTTCTTATCCCCGAATTATACTATGTTTTCAATATAAAACATCTAAGAGAATCAAAGAATTAAATTACATATTTACATAAACTATCTTATTCAGATGGTGTCCAACTTCTTTTTGCCGCTTTGTTTCTGTTTCTATTGAGTATCTTTTTAATCCTTTACCAAAATGATTTTGTTTGGTTTTTTTTTTTTGGTACCGGGGATCGAACTCGGGTCGAACTCGGGACCTTGCGCTTGCGAGGCAGGCGCTGGAATCACTGAGCTAAATCGCCGGCCCTTACCAAAGTGATTTTGGATTTTAATGTCTTAATAAATTTCTCCTAGAAGCTGTTGAAAATTTTTATGTTTTTTTTTTTTTTTTTTTTTTGGTACTGGGGATCAAACTCTGGTCCTTGCGTTTGCACAGCAGGCAGCAAAACCACTGAGCTAAATCCCCAGCCTATGATTTTTTTTTTTTGGTACTGGGGATCGAACTCAGGTCCTTGCGCTTGTGCAGGAGGCGGCAAAACCACTGAGCTAAATCCCCAGCCTCGGTCTATGATTTTTTAAAAGCGGTCTATGATTTTTTAAAAGTGATGTTATAAAACTCCTGGAAACTTCAAAGTAGAACACTAAATAAATTATGAAAGCTAGGGCCAGGGATTTAGCTCAGTGATTCCGCCACCTGCCTCACAAGTACAAGGTCTCGAGTGTGATCTCCGGTACCAAAAATAATAATAATAATAATGAAAGCTAGAAAATGTTATCTATTGGATAGTACACCAAAGAATATATACTGTCCAACTCAAAAATCAAAAAGTACCCCAGTATGGTAGTACACAGCTGTAATCTCAGCATTTGGAAGACTGACACAGGAGGATTGCCTCAAGTTTGTGACCAGCCTGGGCTACACAGAGAGAACTTGTCTCAAAAAAATAAAACAATAAATAAAATAAAAATTAAAAAGTAGCAGCAGCAGCAGCTGCCACTGTCACTACCCTCAACAACTGTTGAAATGGCTAAAAATTCTTTGACACTGCTTCCATCAAAAGATGTGATCTAGAAAAGATTGTTAACTAATTTGCTTATAACCAACAGAATGTTGGCTAAGTCCAAA